CCCTCTTGAACTGGGGGGCCTAGAACTGGACCCTACACTGGAGCAAGGGAAGAAAGTGAGGAGTCCTCCCCCTGAGGAGGAAGGAGCAGCACAGACAATGTGTGATGAACTGACTACAACCCCCATTCCCCATCCCCTTGCGCTGCTGGAAGGGAGGAGGTAGAGAAATTGGGAGTGAAGTTGAGCTTGTGAAGAAGGAAGGGGTGGGGGAAAGGTGTTTTTAAGATTTGGTTGTATTTCTCATTATCCTACTCTGATTTGAATGGCAATAAATTAAATTAATTTCCCTGATTCGCGTCTGTTTTGCCCACGTTGGTAATTGGTGAGTGATCTCCCCATCCTTATCTCGACCCACGAGCCTTTCATTGTATTTTCTTATTTTCTCTCCCCTGTGCAGCTGAGGAGGGGAGGGACAGAGCAGCTTTGCTGGGCACCCAGCACCCAGCCAGGCTCAACCCACCGCACTCCCCTTGCAGCCTGGGACCTGCCAGCGCCTGGAGGAGAGCATCAGGGGCAGTTGGGGTCTTTCTGACCCCGCTCGCTCCCAGTCACGCCAGGGCTGAGTTAAGGGCCCCTGCGGGGCAATTCATGCCGAACTGGAGCGGCCTGAACTGGGCGCCGAAGGGCCGAGGCAGCCTCTGCCGCTCTGGTGTCACGCGGTACCTGCTCTCGCTCAGGACTGTTTCGCGACTCCACCTCGACCTGCAGGGAAATGGTCTCGCCGATGCTCTTCCTCTTGGACAAGCGATCTTCATCTGGGGAGGAAGAGAGAGGGCAGAGGGGCTAATCGCAGCCGCCTCGGGGTGGCAGCGGGGTGAGCCCAGGCGGCCCCCCGGGGAACGGGGCCTCACGTCCCATCCCCAGGGTAGCAGTCCCCTCTAAGCCATCCACCCAAATTCCTCCAAACCAGAAGAACCGAGCCAAGCCCAGCGGGCTTCATGCTTCCTTCCAGCCAACCACCACGTGGCAACCCCAGGAAGGTCCCGATTCACCACTTTGTGCCTCAGTTTCCCCAAAGTTGCCCCTCGAACAGCGAGCAGAGGAACAACAGGCCCATGTGTAGCACAAGACTTTCACATCCCCGTAACTGTGCATAGCAAGGGACTGGTTTCTTCCTCTCCCAGTTCTCCAGAACGCCCCGGGGCTGGTGCGTACCCGTCAGCTGGGGGACGTAGGGTGTGCTGAGCCGGTCCGAATTGTAGCCGCTGCCACCCAGCACCTCACTGATCTTGCTCTGCCAGAAGAAGACCTCCGGGCCCAGGCGGTCAAGGCTCTTGCTCAACCTGTGGAGACAGAGAAAACCCAGTGGAGATGGCAGCATCTCTCCCACGAGGGGAACCGTGCAAGCAGGGTTTCCAGTCCCTTTGGGTCAGCAACACGATGGCTTCGCTTAGCTCCAGCACAGCCGGGTACCTCACGCTATTTCGGCACAAAACCAGAGTCCCAGAAGGGCTCTCGACCCGTCACGGAGGACACGGATGCGCTCAGGACCTTGGGAACGTCTCGGGAGAGCAGCGGGTCTCCACAAGGGACCTCACCACTGAACGTGACCCGTGCCAAGCGTGCCAGCAGGAACGGGACGGCCCAGCCAGCCTCGGCCCCGGGGGTGCTCGGCACGCAGCGGGCATCCTCGAGGCGGCGGCGGCGCGGCAGGGCAGCGGGGGGCCGTGCCAGGTCTACGCCCATCCTGCCACCAGGCAAAGGGCTGGCTGTGAGCGCAAGCTGTGGCGGCCACCCGCTTCCCTGGCTGCACGGGGTCCTCCTCAGATTCCGAACGGGCTGAAAACCACCTGACGTCCTTCCCGCTGTGCCACCCCCGGGTGGGAAAGGGGAGAAGCACGGGCCAGCGAAAGGGTTGATAAACCCGTGGTCGCCCACAGTCTCACGGATGACAATCCCCCAGGAGCAGGCAGCGGGGAAGAAGGTGTTTTCCAGGCTCTTACCTGGGTCTCTCCACAAACACATCTTCAGGGAGAAGATAGGGAGCTTCCTTCTGTCGCATCTGGATGACCTGCAGAAGGCAAGCAAGGAGCCAAGCTCTAACCCCACGGGTGGCCGAGGCCGGAGCTGCCGCGGAGGAGGGTGCAGCCCCATCCCCCTCGCTCGCACCTCGTGGATGTGCTGGCAGAAGGTGGGCACGGTGGTGAGCTGGCTGATGAGGTTCAGGTAAGCCGCCCCGAGGGCGAAAAGGGCGCAGCGGTTGTAGGCGGTCAAGTTGTCCTCGTTGATCTGGGCGATCTCCTGCAGCAGAGGCAAAGCCCCGCGAGCTGAGGACGGACAAGGCCCCAAGGTGGTCCCCATCCCCCTCGTGGCAACCCCTGCCCCGGCAGACACCCCAACCTCCCGAGCATTTCAGAGGCTGACAAGGCGACTGGGGTCTCTCCCCGGCGTGTTGGTCTGATCCCACGACGGTGGGAGAAGCTGAGAGCACGGGAGGCGCCGGCATCCCGCCTCCTCAGAGACCCCAACCCCACCCCAACCCTCCTCCCAGAGGCTCCCTCCCATCACGCCCCGCAGTGCTGAGGACCCCCAGGAGCACCCCCAGCTCCGCTCTGCCTACCTGCACTGCCAGCACCAGGCGGATGAGGTCCACCACGACCTCCTCGTTGGCCAGCTCGATGCTGATGAGCATCAGCATGCTGTAGAGAGCCTCGTAGTGAGCCTGCACGTTGCTCTCCTCCTTGCATATCAGGTAGATGTGCCGGTAGAGCTGCTGGCCGTGCTGTGGGGACACGGAGGGATGCGGTCACCTCCTGAGCAACACTGCCACCGCCACAGAGAAAGGAAAGCGGCAGGGGCCACCAGCCCCCCCGGAAGGAGCAGAGCTCCTCCAGTCCCCAAGCGAACGAAGAAAGCTCCAGGGAGAAGGAGCTGTGACTGTCAGGTGGTGTTTCAGCATTGGATGCTGGGCCCTGCTGGGGGAAGAGGCACCAGCAGGTCCACGAGCAGAGCCCAGGGCAGGCGAACAGCACTCGCAGCACCGAGCCCAGGGAAAGGATGTCTCCGTTGCAGAGGCATTACAGAAATCACGGCCGAAAAATAAAGCCCCAAGAGACGTTGTTTGACAGCAAGGCAGGGGACAGGTTGGTGCAGGAGGAAACTCATCCCTCTGAGGTTTTGGCCTGGGGGCTGCATCGCTGCTCCCTGGCGTGCGCAAGGTAATAAATTGATCCTGTTTCAGCCTCAATTTAGCTCCAGAGGGGATTGCACCACCCTGGAAGGTGTTTTTTAAGGAGGCAGAAGCGGTGGGAAGAAAAATAAATCAAGTCAGGCAATTTCAAAAGCCACTTGACAAACAGCTTTTGGGACACCAGCACATCCTGGGGCGCTCCTTCCCTGGGGCAAACAGCAGATTTAGGACTCTAGAAAGGCCCCCGCACGAAGCGCTGGTGGAGATTGAGTCCCGTTGTCCCAGGGACATCCCCAAGTTTAGAGGCATCACAGGACTCCCCCCCAGCTCAGCGTGACGTGGGGAAACAGAAGCACAGTCCTTACACCGGGCTGCACGAGGACAGCTTGACCCAGACCCTGCCACTACCTTCTTCATGAAGACAGTGTCTTGGCGCGAGCATTTGTCCACTTTCAGCTTCAGGATCGAGATGTCGCTGATGGTGCTGCAAGGAAAGGCCAAGGAGAAGGGAAAACTCAGACACCGGAGGGAGGAGGCGTGATCCCCACAGGCCTGCAGAGCTGCTGGCCAGGAAGGAGCCGCCTGGGAGGAACCAAGGCGGGAAGCTAAAGGTGGCTTTTAAAACCCATCTGAGGAATTACACAGAATGACAGAATGGCAGGAGTTGGAGGGACCTCTGGAGAGCATCCAGTCCAACCCCCCTCCTAAAG